CTACATTCTACATTCTACATTTTAAAAATTTCCAGAATAATAAGGACCTGGTTGTCTGTTTGACATCTTGAACTATAAAAATAAATTAGACAAAAAACACAGTATATATAAAAAAAAAAACGAACCAAATAGAATATAAATTTCCTTTTCAATTATTTTATTATAATATGTAAAACATAATATTCAATCTGTCTTGGGCTACAATCAATAAGATAGTATTTTTGTTTTAATTATTTAATTATGTTGTACTTTTGTAGTATCAAGTTTAACAAGTAAATTAATAGTTGTATACTGGTACCCATTTAAAAAGCAAACACAAATGACAAATTATATTCCATTTTGTGTTCTGTTTCATTTATATAGTGGCCATGGTGATATTTATAAAAAAGTTCAGTTTATAAAAAGGCATTAATTGTTAAATACAAAGACTTTTATAAGCCTAAGTACGAACATGTAATTTAAAAAATAATCTGAAAACAATTAAATCATTAGTACCTAAGTAACATTTTATGTAGTACATCATTTTATGCAGTACCTACCTATTTGGAAAAATATATAGTTGTTAATTTGAAATCACATAACAATGAATTACAATTAATAGTGCGATTTTTAAGATTAAGGTTTTAAACAACTATCTACATAATATTATATTATATGCAAGAAAATGATGTAATTTACCATACTTTATTATGTCACTAATCGGAGAGTACATTAATCTATTTATGATGGACTAAGGCATGTTCACTTCCGCTGACAGTAAATTGCGGACGGGTTTTATTTATTTTATATTTTTATCTATTTTTTAACTTTTTAATATTTAAATTAATGTCATTAGTTATTACTAATCTCGATTAAAAATAAAATTATTTTATTTTATTCCCATACCCAATACTACACATTTCCTGTGAAATATTATTTTGTACTTAGTTTTGACTTTTGTTTTAAAGTCCATTTTCAATTTTCAATTTATAAAATATTTAAAACCTTAAAAATACGCCCTCGAAAATTATACGCATTATTTATATTTGTTTCTTAATAATTAATAAAAGAACTCTTTTATAGTGAAAATTGATCATCATATTACTTGACCAAGGAGAAACAAAGTACATTTATACGTAACTATATATTATATAATCGCACTCTATTGCGTGTTTAAATGTCACGATTTTTATATAATATAATACTGTTTCATCTGGTATCCACTGTATGTACCTATCTTGTTTGATCGACGTGTGGTACTACGTAGACAGTAACTAAACTATTTTATTTTATATAGAACAGTCCATAGACATATGTCTACGGAACAGTCGAACAGTGTTGTTGTGATCTAAGTAGGTACCTTTTTTTACATTTTATTATGGAAATATAGACATCAAATCTGTCGCATATTAGATAATAATACCTAGGTACTTAGTACTTAATACTTATAACTTATATTACAACTCAAAACACAAACAATTATAAAAACTATTATATTAGTAAAGTAGGTATATTGATGTATGTACAATGTACTAAGTAGGTACCTAAGTAGATTGTAGATATCGATATGTAATATTAATATAATATAATTATTTATTACCTACCTATTATGTCATTATGATAATATAATTGATTATAATTTATAACTGTGTGGCCCTTATTACATATTTTTCACGGTACAAAATATGTACATTATCCACGGCTATTATTTTAATTTATAACTATTGTTTATAAATTATATCGTAAAATCGTTTCCATCAGCTGCCATCATTCATCAACATCTTAAGATCATACAATGTTTTTGTCGTTTATGATCGAAGACAGTAGACCGTAGTGGCATAGTCTATGGAATACTATTATTCCTTATACTATGGTCTATACTGGGGTGCGTTCGAATATGGATAGTTATAGAGTAAGTGCCTACTATACACATTGTTTATCTCGGTGTTATATCTATATATGTTTATCATGTGTTATTTAGTATATAGTTTAGCTAAGGTAAGCATTAACTAGTTAAAATAGTTTAAGTTAAGCTAAATATTTAGTTTACCTATTTTTAACTTAACTAGTTAATTATTTTATAATTAACTTTTTAAAGTTAAAAATATTTTTAAATTGTTGGTTTTAATGGTTTTATACATAAAATAATAGTACCTAATCAAATACTATAGGTAATAATAATAATAATAGTAACGGATGATACAAGCTATTTATTGAAATTTCTGTTTCTTAAACATATAAAATAATATCATATTATAGAAAGAATAGAAAGAAACAAAATACTCTTAATGTGAGCCACCTGCCGCTTAAAAATGTAGATAGAACTTTTTTTTAAACAGAGTTAAGTTAATATTTTGTTCATATTACCTTTAGACTAGACTGAGAGTTAAATTTTTTATTTGCTAACTAATAACTTCTAATTTAACAACCTTGTATTCACTTAACTAACATGACTTGGGTTACATATATTATTCATTTTATTTAAATGCCCACCTTTAGCTTTAGGTCCTAGGTAATGAGGTATTTACAATATTTACATTTTCACATTTCCAGTATAAATGTATTATCTACAATAGGTACCTATGTAGTTTAATAATATTACCCACTATTTATTTTAAATGTAACAATGTAACAACTAACTACACCTAATTTTATAAGTTTAAATTTATACAAACTACATATTAAGTAGTATGTTCATACTTTTATTGTTAAAATATCTAAAGCCGCTTCCTTACAGTAGTGGTGTACTTTAAATGTAAGATTCTTATTTTTAGTTTCTTTATCTTGTCTGCAATATTGAGTGTAGATAACTCTAGTCTCTAAGATTTGAATAATTTTATTGTGCCTTCATCAAATTGTATCATATATAAATTATAAGTAATTATATTGAAAAAGTGAAATAAGATGAAAAATTTGGCTATTAGAATATTATTATATTTGTGATTTGTCAAACAATTATGAAATATGTTGTAATTTCTCCTCTACATAAAGGGCATCTATAGTATGGTATTGTTCTGTATGGTGGCATCCTTATGTATGTTTGATGGCAAGGAGCACACAATCCTTGATGTCTACATGGTATTGCTATGACAGTGGGCATTGAGTAATGGCATATATAACAGCTTTCAGATATGTTTGGTTCAACTGAAAATTCAAAGTATTAATTAAAGTATATACATTTTAATAATAATGTGTATTATACATGCATGATTAATGATTATATATTTTTAGTGTAATATTTATTTACTGGTCAAGTCTTCAAGACTAATATATGTATTATCCGGTAATACTGGATGTGGTATATTTTCTTCTTCTTCTTCATTGTCCAGCCCATGAATAAGATGCAATACTAAAAATAAAAGAATATTAGGACTATTACCTATAGTTGTATCTAAGTGAGTATATTAAATTTTACTATTTATTTCTCCATCAACAATAGGCCATCTTTCTAAAATAAATTCCCTGGCATTAACTGGTTGCCGATTCTCAACAACCGGTTGTATTTCAGGAAGTGGAAGTGGTTGGGCAATACGCATGGGTCTGACTACTCCAAAATTTGGGGTAACATGTTTAGTACATGCCAAAAATTCAGATACTGTATAACGCCCTTCAGCTAACAGCCTAGAAGCCAAATCGAGGTTTCGCTGGTGGTCTATCGAGATTTGCCGTTGTGGTTAACTGACCTGGATACCATCAATTGCCAAATTGTAATCGGCCAATACACCACTTTAGTATGTAATTAACCCTTCTGCAAAATTTAAATGTTTTATAAAACCTATCATGGTAGATTATATTTTTTGTTAGACATTTACGGTGCCTTATAGTGATAATTAATTTAAATTTATGAAGACAAAAATGTTTTTATTAAAAACAGTATGTACAAGGTAAATTAGTAAAATTTATAAAATAAATTACTTAAAAACACCCATGGTTCTGGTTGATGCATATTACCCATGTGCATGCGGAGGTGTTGATGGCTAACTTCCAATACGTTGTTTGTCCGCCAAATAACACTGTTTACGGACAAGATGTCTGCATTTGGTCCTGTATAATGTATACATTATGTTTTTAAATACACTGTAATTGTTATTCATAATTTCTCAATCAGTGTCAGTATTTTACTATTCATATTTAAATTATTAACAACTAAATAAATTAAAATAAATACGTAAATTTAATTTTAAAAAAATTTGTTCAATTACTTAAACAAAGTTCTTTGTTATTAAAATTGACAAACAATTTTACAACTATGCTAAGTAAAACTAAAATGTTAAAATGTAATGCATCATATTCCTATATCATCTTCTTCTAATATTTTTCAGGTTTAACAAACCTTGGAGCCATGTAGATTTGTAATACTGGAAATATCTTTGGAATATTCTACAGCTTTCCACTGGCAAACTATTTTCAAACATTTTCTGTGTAAAATTGTCTTATAGAAAGAAAGCCTTCCATCACCTTATCCACAGGCAAAAGTGGTAATGCCATTAGCATATGTACGATGTCATATGCATTTCGATGCCCGGTACATATTTCTATCATTCCTGTAATACATTTAAGATTATTTAATATATACTTATTGAACTATCAAAAATATTTATAAGCTTACCAAATTCTCCAACTTTTCTCCACAGAGCTTGAGAGCTATGGAACCAACAACCCCTTATCGTAACGTTATTGAAAATTGCTTTCAATGACACCATTGCAGCTCTCTCAAAATCTACAATAATTGTTTGTGGTGTCCACTGTGGCTCAATTTCTAATACCCGTTTAAATAAGGCATTGTAAGCCCTCGCTGTCTTTCTTGACATCAAAGCAAATGCAATTGGGAATCCCTAAAATACAAACATTTTATAATTTATAAAATGTATACACAGATAGATACCTAAAGTTTAAGGTAAGCTGCAATGATTATCACATTATAATATTTGTATACATGAGTATAATTATTTTTAGGTATAACTCACTGTGTTGAATTGTATACCCATTATAACTTATAGCTGTTGACACTCTCGGTTAAATTATGGAGCAGCAGCAAATGTACCATCCATCAAAAACGTTGATCCAGTCCTCAGTATACTGAAAAAGAAAACAAATAGGTTTTATACAGTTATTATAATTTATTTACATTTTACATAGATACCTATCAAGATAATTCATTTTCTAATTACATACTACATAGTATTTACTTTTTAATTTCTGGTAATACAAACAACATTGTTATCCTTTCTTCGGGGTCAGTGCCTATTTTTCCCATATAAATAGGTACATTATCCATCACTGGAAGATGAACAAAGTCTCCAGTCAATTGGTAATGGAAATCGGTCATGGTTTTTGGTGATGTTGGTTGATTAGATTTTCTATGCCTTTGCATGGTTCGCCGATGAGATACAAATGGACCAACATTTTTATTAATGAATTCAGGCATAGAACTTGCCTAAGATATTAATAATATAGTATAAATGATTTAATATTTATTTTTAATACAATGTAGATATATTTTTAAATATTATAAATACCTCATTGTAAATTACACGAAGCGAAATCTGTTGATTTTTGGAACGTTCGTTACAAATACTTCTAAATTTTGATACAATATATAAGTTTCCTACATGATTGATTTCATGACCAACAGTTAACACAAGTTTTGTTTTATCATTTTTTGATATTTTACCTTTTGCTTTACACCTAAAACAAGAAAATATAGCTATATGAAAAAGATTTTGTAAAATTAACAAACTTCAGAAATAAGGCTGTTTTGTTTTGTTTTATTTTCAACAATTACTATTATTATTATTTAATAGCATATAATATTTAATATAATATAATAAACACAGATAGACAAAAGTTATTTTATAAAAAGTTATATTATCAAAAAATCATAATATTATACATAAAGTAATATAATAAAACAGAAAACTATTAAAAGTAGCTGTGGACAAAAAAAAAAAAAAAAAAATTATAATACTGTTTTTCATTGATATTTTAAAATAGTTATAAATAATATACCTATAATAATATAAATTATATAAAGTAAAATAAAATTATACTGATGTTTCTTACTTAAACATAATATAATATTTTATTATATAATACTGAAGAATATAATAGAATAATAACATAAAATAATACTTAGTTAAATAAACCATGGATAAATTTTATTGTGAATCTAGTTGAGGATTTTTAGCTGATAATTTTTTGATTCTATTAGAAGCTTGTGCCAACCAATTTTTTAATGGTTTTTCTATTTCAATGTTAGGGAGATTTTGTGAAGAAAATGGTTTCATTTGGCGAATAGTTTCTAAACAAACAAAAAACAAATCATTTGTTATTTTTCATTGACCATATATCTATATTTATTAATCCATTTACAGGCTTAAATACCTATACTATCTATCAATAAGTATTTGAGACGTTTAAATACTAGGTACCTATATATTAATGTATATTGAATACATTTTTTCTACTTTTAAACATATTATATACTTTACATAACATATATTATATATTTACTAAACATATTTCGTATTTTTGTTAAATTTAACGACAACTACTAATATCTTATCTTTATAATAATATATTATATGCTGCTGATAATATGAGTGATGGGTACTAATCTTGAAGAAACATTTATATGATTGAATTGATACATAATAATTTTAATTAATGTTAAATAATAAAACTTTAATTTCTGAAGTGTGATAATTTTGGTAATTGTTTTAAATTTAAATATACTTGTAATTATAGTTAATAATTATAAATATTAAATATTGTTAGTTAAGAAATAATAAGGTATAAAAACAATTTATTATTGTTTAAACAACCTATATGTACATAAGTAGTATAGGGGTCACTATGGTACACTTTCATTTTAAATGCAATATTTCCTAAAATATTTTTTCATAGAAATTGAAATGCAATATTCCTTTAATTATTTTGCAAATCGTGAAACGCAATAATTATTAAAATATTTTTCAAAAAATCTGAAATGCAAAAATACTAAAAATAATTTTCATAGAAATTGAAATGCAAAAAATACTAAAAATATTTTCCTATGGGGGGACTTCGGCACACGTGACATTTAAATGCAATAATTACTTAAAACATTTTTCAAAAATCTGAAATGCACCAAAACATTTTTTAATAGAATTGTTCTATCAAAAATAAAAATCGAAATAACATATTTAATTGCAAAATGTATTAAAAATTAATTGAAAAAATTAATTTAAAAATTAAAAATTTAATAAATAATAAAAATAATGGAAACAACTATCAAAGATTTTAATACATTACAAGAAAAAGAAATGCAAAACGAAATAGAAAACTCAATATTAAATAATGAAATCTTTGTTAAGTTTTGTAAATATGAATACTTTCATACTAATAATAAAAAAAATATTAAAATTATGAAATATAATCTACATAAAATTCCAATTGAAGGAAATATTTTAATTGCAGATCATCATGGAAATGGAAATGGAAAGCCTTATGCTTCTAAAATATTAGAATCGCCAACATGGCTTGAAATTTGTAAAATAGCTAATGATTTAATAAATACAACCGGTACTTATTTTTACAAATATCTCCATGATATTTGTGTTGTTCAAGATTTAGGAAATATTATAATATGTTGTCTTAGCATGAGAGGTACAGATGCCGATCATAAGATGCTTATAATATAATAATATAATTAAATTTTTTAATAGAATTGTTCTATTAAAAAAAATGTTCAATATTTAACGCTCACCCGAATAGGGGACGCGTTATTAAAATCCAAAAATCTTTAAAAACGATTTTACACTATGATACTATGAGGGGGACTTATAAAGAATTAAAATCAAAAATGTTTAATGTAAAAATGAAGATTCTAACATAAATAGCAACGGAGTTATACTTAAATGAAAAATATGAAGCGGGGGTAAACTTTTAATATGTAGTGTAGATAAGCATATAAAACATATCTGTGTTGTTCCGACTTGATAATATCAAATATTAAATGAAATATAGGACATATTATACGATCGCGTTATTTTTTAATATTTTTAATAGAAATATGGAAAAAAATGCAAAAAATCTACAAAATCATTCCCAACTTTGCAGATACCCGTTAGGAAAAAAGGAGGCCGGAACTCTTTTACAGATATCTGCAAAGCTATCGTGGGAGGTGAAGTTACCCAAGCGCTTTATCCAGCAGGTCAACGACAGTTTTTCAGTAGATTGCATAGGTGTGTGCACCCACCTATACAATCTACCGTAAACGTCTTCAAAGCCTGACGAAATTAGTAGGTGAATATGCAGCGCTACACATTCCCCCACTAGTTTCAATCCGACCAAGAACACATTTAAATCAAACGCCTTAACCACTGAGCTACAACACTTGGGCATGTATAATGATTATTTAAACACTATTTAAATAATTCGATAAAAAAAACATCATAATATAAACTATACATATATATTATGATAAGGTATTCAATACCGGATGTTAAAAAAATAATCAGTACAACGTTGATATATATATATATTATTATTATTATTATTATTATTATTATTATTATTATACCACACTGTATAGGTACTATAATATTATATATAATACTTCGTAAGTATTATATTCGATTTAAATTTTCGATGTTTAAAAAATTTTATTTTTTTATAATAAATTATAGTAATGGAAAATAAAAATCAAATTAATGAATTATCTTCGCCAAAAACTATAAAAAAACGATAGATGCTAATAATGTAAAAAACGAATTTGGTCCATATGAAGTCAAGCATAAAATTTACAAACATGAGCAAAATAAAGCGGAATCGTTTCGCAAATCATGTGTCATGTTCAATAAATTTAATAAAATATTACAAATAAAGTACAATAATCAAGAAAATACTTTTACGTCGGAAGAAATGGAAGAAATAATACCGATACGAGCAATGTATTATTGCAGTCATGATTGGGATCAAGGTGCAATATCTGAATTTATTGATTTTCGAAAAAACTGGATATTTCCTATTTTGTATTCTCAAGTTCGTGGTGATTATATTCCAACTTGGGATCAATGGGAATGTTTTGGTATGATAAAGTCTGAAATTACAATATCTAAATTTATTAAAAATTTTAATAATAATTTTATTGATGATTATGAGAACACATTGTGGTTTAATTTCTATAACTACATAGATAATAAAGATAAATTATGGTTATCAATTGATATAATTTCGAATCATCATTTTATGCCATATAGTCTAACTCCACAAAACGATGATACAGATGAAGAATATGAATGTGGAAATATTAATTGTGAAAAAACAATTGCTAATAAAATAAAAAAAATAAAAAAAAACAACGACTCGTTGAGGTGCGCCTCTGTATAGGTACTATAATATTATATATAATACTTCGTAAGTTTTATATTCGATTTAAATTTTCAATGTTTAAAAAATAATCAGTGTAGCTCCATATAATTATTATTATTATTCAAATCGTGTAATTCCTCTTGTATTAATTTATGTAATTCGTTTAGTGAAAGTTTAATTTCATTATAATTTTTGTTTTTAATAAAACTTAAAATATTTTCGAAACAAAAATTACTAATGAAACGGAAGTTAAATGATTTTAATTGATTATGTTTTTTGTAATAAACATATTTTGCAACGTTTTCGTAACAACAATTATCCAATATTTGATTCCATAATATATTACTAATTTCAGAATCAATATCAATATCAATATCACTATTATTAAATATAGGTCTTAGGATTTTACGTTGTTGTTCAATCATATTTAAAAGTGTTTTGATATTTTCCATTTCTATTATTTATATTAGTAAATATATTTTTTTTTTAACATCGAATTATTAAAACAACGAGTTGTTAAAAAACAACGTTAACGTAAAAAAACAACGTCAACGAGTTAACGTAAAAAAACAACGACTCGTTAACAACTCGTCAACGACTGTTGACTTTAAATTTACCTCTTTAATGAGCTAAACATTGTCAGTTGTTTTTTCGGTTTAAGATTCTGGACATTTTAGTTTGAACCCTTCAATATGTGTTCCTATTGTATGATTTTTTCTAATTTTTTTTTTTGTATTTCTAAAATGCATTTGCCTGCGGGCGCCAACACTCCCCTTCAATTTTTTTTTGAGGAATTTGACTCTAGTTGAATTGTTTGAATAGACTTGAATATTGTTAAGAAGCAGGTGCCCTCTGTATCATCATTCTTTAATGAGCTAATCATTGGCAGTATTGTTTTTTCTGTTTTGGATTCTGGACGTTTTAGTTTGAACCCTTCAATACGCCTTATTATCGTATAATTTTTTTTAAATAAATTTTTTTTGGTTTTCTAAAATGCTTTTGCCTGCGGGCTCCAACACT